AGATAGGCACGAATACACATCTTATATCCATTTCGTCCAGTGTAGAAAGGTGGAGTACAGATTGACGTGGTTTTTCCTTCAATCGCATCTCTTTTCCTTTGTTTGACGTCAGGTATACGCCACAAGAATGAACCATTGTAGGTAGAAGCAAGAGAAGCTTGTAATTGTAGTTTGAGCTCTGATAGATGAACTTTCAACATCCCAGACGTCCTTTCCTGCTCTGCTAATTTGTGCTCGATTGATCCTCCCATTTTGCTATCACTTGTTGACATGTCATCAAAGCCCTGGTTAAGAGGACGGTAGCTTGCTCCAGATTCCAGCTTATTAACTTTGTCCTTTAGTTGTTTAACTCTTTCTTGTAAGTCCAGTATAATTTGATTTGAAGGTTCTCCTTTAAGACGCTCTTCCAGTTGTTTCACTTGTTGTGCTTGCGAGGAACTCTCATTAATCATTTGATCTTTGAATATTGAAGTACTTTCAGTAATTTCTTTAAGCTCTTTTCGAATCTCCTTCAGTTCTGGATATAATTGTGCCTGCATTGTCTTGATAGACAACCCTAGCATTTGGAGATGCATGAAGAGCTGTTCATGTTCCAAATGATTCATAGGATTTGGATGCTTTGATAAGCTTCTATGTATCTGTAGAAATAACAATTGAAACAGCTGAATGATGTCAGTCAAGTCACAATGAAATACACATTCAGTCACGATGAAATACACATTCAGTCTACACAAAGGTACTACACTTCTCTGAACACCGGAAGTGAAGGAAATCGTATGGTTTCCCTCATGCTATGATGGATACCCATACTATTTTATTTATTTCTCTTACATAGATGCTTGAACAGTGGTGTATCTAGCACCATTAAGAGAGAAAAAGTTGCTTGTTATAAAGAAACAAGTTTGGTTTTCATGTGCAAAGTTTAAGCAAAGATGAGTCACCATGAAAATTATTTGTTTAATAAGAATTTTTTGACTTTGATTTTTGTGCAAATCATTCACAGAATACCTGGAACCTCTACAGTCTTTCCATGGACTTAGGAAGGTGTAGTCTACATGTCCTGCTAGTTTCAATCTTAATGGAGCAGATATAGCTTTAGAAAAAGTGCCGTAAACTTGGTCATAATTAGGCGATCTAAAATCCTTGATTCACAAGAGCTGTTCTTTTAATTTTGCCATAAACAGATAGAACCAACTCTCCTCTTTGCTACTACCAAGAGTGAGCTTCATCTGTGCTTCTTTTTAGGAGATACACTTCTACTTGCACAGCCAGCATTTTAACTTTTTAGCTACAAAGCAACTTTGATTTTTGTGCAAATCATTCACAGGAGTGCTGGGCTTTTGCGAAAGGATCTAGTACTGTACTTACCTTTGCTTAATACACTGTGAATCTCCTCAGTTGCTGGGTCTTATTTTATTCAGGTAAATTTCCCCTCAAGTCGCTATGTTTTTCAGAAATTGCCTAATTATTAGCTTATCAGCTACACGTGGTTCAAATTTTGAATGATTTTAATTATATTCATAAGCCATTGGCAATGAATATCATTTTATCAGTGAGGACATAATCAGGAAGTGAAGCCATAAAGGATCCATTCACAATTAATTTTGTGTAGCTCCTTCTGTAGACAGATAGTTGTTTGGGTGTTTTCCCAGGGAAATTCCCCACACTGAATTTAATTATAAAAATATTATATGTTTACCTGCGGATGCCATCCAGAGCAACACAATTGTTCTCTGCAGTTAAGTAACATGTGACTAACCATCTAATAATAATATGATGATAGATGAGATCATTGTTCCATTTGGTATATAAAGCACGAACTCACTTCACTTCTAGGCATTTCAGTGTGACAATGACCACAAGCATAAGGAGCATTAGGACAACTCAATAGGTGATCCTTAACATAAATTATAAAATCACTATAATTATCCATCTTATCTTCTTACATTATAGTCTCCAGCCAACATTTGGCTTCTGCAATGTGGGCAATGGACTTTTCGAAATATACACTCATCTTGTTCATGTTTTCTCAACTTTCCAAGAGGAATTCTCTTACCACAGCCAAGAGGACACCTCATGGTCTTATACTCACAGATAGCTTTGTGATCATGCTGGGAGGGAACAAGAAACCATTATTGCAGCTGTCCTAACTGCTAACCAAAATTCTGTAAGCTGTACTCATGAAGCCCACCCTTTGGTTAACATCTCAACATGGCCCACTGCCTACCTCATGGTTCTTAAGCTTTCCAGTCCAATCACAACCATTCTCATAGTTCTCACATAAAACTGGGAGCCTATCTATCTCTCTTCTAACAGCAATATCAGGATGTATCTGCAAACAATATATAATTAGTATAATATTATATATGTGAATAATGGGTAGACAATACACAACTTTACTTATGAAGTATAACTCATGATGGACAAAAAA